GTTTTCAATGTGACGAAATAAATTAGTAAATTGTAAAAATGCTCCATTTTCTTACATTCTCAATGTAACGAAATAATAAATTTATAAATACTTATTTCATACCATGTTGAATGAGAAATATTTAAAAAAATAGTATTTTGAGATGCTTAATGAAGTAATATAATGTGAAATTAATTAAGAATTTTTTGTGTGAATTCTTTAAAATCGGGTTCACAACAATTATGTTTAGTTGAGATGCTTATGTACAAGTCCATTTTAAATATTTTCATATAAATTTTAGATTGTTTTATTAATTATATACGTAATACGTAGTATATTTTATTTTACTTTTTCATAATTTGGGAGATTCCATCAATTTAGCTCAATCAGTTAGATTTAATTCATTATAGTAGAGTCAGACAATTCAACTCATTTTAGTATTATCAAATGGCTTTATATTTGACTGAGTTTATTTTGCTTTTACATCACATTAAATTATACTACGTATATGATTCCGAAAATATCAAATTTACAATTAGCTAAATTATGTACTGTCCATGCATCGCACGGACTTGAAAGCTAGTTATCCATAAATTAAATGAAACAGAAAGGAAGATTTTAATGGAAAGGGCGATTCTGTTTGATATTACCCTCATGTAATCCACCCCGCTCACCGTTTATCTTCTTCTGCTTATGCCATCTTCCTCCATACTCTTCTTGTTTTTTTTCCATTTTTTTCCAGATCAAACAAACACTTGATTTCTTCATTTATAATCACTCTCCACAATTCACTCACTCATAATGGTGTTTCTTGTTAGATTTTATTATCCGTTTGTAAATAGGAAAATTCTACGGTGCATCATTAAAAATCAAAGGTACCAGTACAATATTCCATTTTAGTCCAATCAAATGATGACATGTTGTCAACTCGACATCCTAGTCATCGTAGTATCAAAATTGTACATCTTTGCATTTTAGTCCTTCGGAAATTAGCAAGTTAATTTCCGCCGGTAGGCACGTCAGGATAGAAATAAAACTGCCGGCTATGCACGTCGGAAGAGACATATCTAGTGGGATTTTCTTCTGAGATCACCTTCCTCATCTTTCCTTGAAGGTTTAATTTAACAATGGCCTCAACTCTCTCCGGTAATCCCATGAAATATGTGGTGACGGACTTCCTGCAAACCTTAATTTCCAAATACAACCACCAAACAGAGACGGGAGGAATCTGCTTTCTCGTTTACACAAATCCTCTCCCTCCCATAGCTAACCATATGACGGTACAAAAAATTGTTTCATCGAGCTTATTCATACTTACAAACTTCGACTTCCTATGTTTAGAGTATGAGTAGTCTTGGACTTTTCGCAGAGCAACATGCCAACAACATCGTGAGAACCAGAGAAGATGAAGGGGAAGTGAGGAATAAGTGAATGGATGCTACCATGTTATAATGTGTTGCACGCCCAACTGGATTATCCCCTGGAACACAAATAGTCTTCACTGTAACATCAGCTTAGCTACTTTATCGGTTTATTAAATGGACTCCTCTTCAATACATTGTTATACCAATTCGTAGGTTTAGGTGATTCTTGACAGCCTTTGCATAGCAGTATGGGGTAATACTTTTCCCAGTTTTAATTGGTTATTATTTTACAATGTTTGCTTACCTACAAATCAAAGGTTTTTACTAAATTAGGAGTAGGTCGTTGCCATTATGCCCATCAAGCTATGCCCCTGATCATCATAGACCTGTATACTGAAAAAGTTACATTAAGTGCATGATGATAAGAAATAATTAATTACACATCTAAATAGCTTTTTAGTTTTTTTTCCCTTTCTTTTCCAGAATGCTATGTTACTCAAGGTGTTGGTGCTTATGCTTCGTTTTTGTTATTTGGTTGGAAATTATCAATCATATTGTGATTAGTTGATAATATTAGTAGTCATGTTTCTTGGCAAAATTGATGATATAAAATGACGATTAACATTGCAGAACTATTAAACAGCCTATCAGAAAAATATAAAACTCAAATCAATATATTAAAGATTTTTGGCTATGCATTACGTTGAAATATATGGTATCAAAATGATACTATCTGAACTATTGACCCTTTCAATGGTAGAATTGAAGTGTATATGATTTATGATAACTTATGTATGGATGGATGCTTCTGCTTAATGTGAGTACTATTCTGTTTGTTTTGCTTTCCGCTTTCACTAAGTCTGCGATTGTAATAAAGACAAATTCACAGGTTGTGGATGAGGTAGAGAGGTAGTCAAAGCAATCCCAGAACAACCCCACCCAAACCACCATAACAAGGAACATTGATCAGATGATGCAAATGAGTCCAACTGCTGAGGAAAAACCTGGAAGAGAGTGCATTGTGACTCAAAATACGGTGATATGAGTTAGATGTCTCCAGCTTTGTTCCACAAGCGTTGAGTCTTCAAAGCAATTAAGTAGATAAATCAAACTAAAGAGAAACACGTCTCTTTCCCACACACAGGATGTGGCAGGAAACGTGACTATCATATATCACTTGGGAGTTTGGTAGTAGTTGATATTTCATCCTCTCAAATGTCAATGTTTACTTTTGCTAAGCCTTTAGTAAAAACAAATTATGTATTTTACAAAACTGGCCTTCATAAAGGGTCCACAGTTGGTGGCTTTCAATATCATTAGTCATTCCATTACCTCAGTCAACAATTTTTCACAAGCCTAGTGTTTCACTGTCAACAAGTTTTCTACTCCGTAATACGTAGTATATTATATCCGATGAAAAGATTCAATTACACAATGCTGCGAGGGGGAGAGTATTGCAATAGTGAACCAATCCTAACAATTAACTTGTCAAAGGATATTTTGTGACAAAGCAGAGCCAAATGTTTCTATGCAGTGCGAACCGGTTGGATTTGTTTGAAAAATCTCTATGGTCAATATCAAAAGTCTGAACAACAATTTAAAAACAAGCTTCACGAACAACTGACCTCCAGGAGTCAAGCATAAGAGGATTTCACAAACATTCTTGGATGGAAAGGAAATCATATGCCTTTTTATATTATCTTAGAAGGTGCCACTTTTGTGTATATGGGCAAAGGACTCAGAAGAATAAAGCGACTACTCAATACATTGGCTTGTTAAAGGAAGTACTTCCTTGTGCATAGTGTGCCTTGTTTACTTTTGAAAAGGGGAAAAATATTTGATATCAATCAAGTCATGATCATGATCACCAAGTATACAATCAGGAGGGGCTAAAAACCTATCAGACTGATCAGGCAAAGAAACCGGTCCCATTTGCTTTTGATAAAAACATAAAATCAGAGATCATTCCAAAAACATGCTTGAATCGTTCTAATATCCTCCCCAATCATTCCAAAAGCATTCAAGGAACCTCCGTGCCTAATATCAGAAATTCCTTGAAGAGAATCAGACTCGACATCAATGGAATCCTAACCATAACTCAAAGCCCACCTTATTGCTTCCCGAATCCCCAAAATCCTAGCTTCACGGACCGTGCATTTACCTAGTAGCTTGGTTGATCCTCCATCTATGAAACTACTAGCCGAATCACGAAGAACGCAGCCCAACCCCCATCACTCTGCTTTATCGGCATTCTGCGATCTCCCCCAATGATCCCCAGTTTTTTAGATTGCTGTCATGCCAACCAGTAGCCTTTAACTCCCCCAAGATATTTACATTTTACTAATGATCATTCTTTTCATACAAACTAACATATATAGTGCCAAGGGGCCCAAAGAATCTAAGAAAACTACATCATAGATTTGGGCAAATCTTATCTAACATAGAATTCAAACAGAAGTACTAAACTGCTTGCATTTCACTGGAATGACTTTAATCTGGTGAAATAGGTTGAATCTAAAATGTTAAAGATTTTACAAGCATCTGATCTTATTTGTGAACTCAAGTTGGATTGCATATCTACGAAAGCCTAATACTAATATGATCATTAATGATATAGGAGAATGTCTCTTATTATATAAACTCAAATTAGGTGCTCCCTAAGCCCATTCATCCTACAAAAGCACCCTCCTTTGCAACTGGAATACGAATATATAAACATAACATCATTACACAAAAGGGGATTCTTGCATCTTTGCCTTATCGCCGGAGTGCAACTTTTTTTTTGGTGCGGTAGGTTATTCCTTCAGTGTGGCAGGTTCGTCCTTGGGTGCCGCAGGGTTATCCTTCAGTGGGGCTAGTTATCTTCTTTTTCCTCTCTCTGCGTTCCTGCGGTAAGCCGGCAACACTTTGCAACTGCAGATTGAGGGATAGTTTTGCAAATAATGAAACTACATTATTGCTTGGACGTGGACTTGCTTAAATTAGAATGCTGATCTGATGTGGAGGTGTCTGATTGGTTTAAAATTGAAGGTACCGAAACACTCTTTTTTTGTGTGTATGGTAGAAGCACCCTTGTAAATATTAAACTGTGCGATTGGAAAATTATAACATCACAATCCCTAATTTCAAAGGTAAAGAACCACTAAGTTTAGAGCAGCAAAATTATTTCAGCTCCGAAAAGTAAAATTGAAGCTCCAGATATATGTATGTTGTGTGTGTACACATATAACGTTGCATCCTTGATCATATTTTTGAGGCTCTCTCTTCGTAGACAAGAAAAACGGTTGAATGAAGAGGAAAGGAGTTTAATGAGTGGCAGGGTGGGGCATTTGCAGAAGAAGAAAAGATAAGCACGATGTTAATTAACTCCGTTTCCTTTAATCTATTTATGTGAATCTATTTATGAGTTTGGATTATTTATAGAAAACTTTTTAGAGATGATTAGTGTAGAATCACTAAAGTACGGATTATATCTATGTGAATTACACCAAAAAAACATTAGTGTCCAGTCAAGGCATAACTTGATAGGCATAACTTGACTAGGAATAATAAGCATTTAATTATGTTACTTATATGCGCGGACAATTTGGCTTAACATGCCCCGCAAGATGACGAATCTCCTAAAAGAAATAATTCAAAATCATTATATGTTACGGAGTCCATATGAAAATGACCTAACATTTTCCCTGTGAAAGTAACATAATGCCATCAAGAATTGTGATAACCACTTTTGATATCAATTGTACGAAAGCTTTTACATCAAGGGCATAAGACAGTATCACTATGATTCACATAACAAGGCCCAACAGGTTGGGGTAAATGAGGTGATGGTATTTGCAATATTCCATACAAACTAACAATTCTTCAAATCTCTATGGTATTGAACAAATGACTGGCATTACTTTTACTCTCCACAAGTACATGAAAGTGATGAAACCAGTTTGTATCCAGAAAAGTATATAGAAACCACAGCCAATATCATTTGCTGGTCTTACCTTGCAGCCTCAGTGTGAATGCTTGCAAAGACAGAAGAACAGCTTTCAATTTCTCCCTGGTTTTAGCATCTATCAGATTCCCATCACTGTCAAACTTGGAAGGGGGCTGAAAAGCAGCAACATAAAATTCAGGCTTGTTAATGAAATGAAGGTCAAGGTAAACCCCGATCTGCCGGAGATGGTACTGTCCCCGTCCACCTCCCATGTCTCCTCCGGCACTAATGATCGCAGCTGCTTTGTCTCCCCAAACGTTTGGGGGTCGAGATGCCCAATCAATAGCATTTTTTAATGGTCCTACACACATCAATGTAGATAGATCATAGCTTATTGACTGTTTGTTAAAATTTGAGAATATTCATCATAAGACCTGGTTGAGGGGCTAAAATGTTAAAAATGGACTCCGTCCATATGAAAACAGTGTTTAGACTCCCATTTCTTTACATTCCAGCACCGTCAATAAAACACATTCATCATATCTTTTTACATAACAATTTAGTAAAACATTAATTAAATTATTATAAGTAATTTTTTCCTTTTAATTTTTTCCCTGAATAATTATGAAATAAAAAATTCATATTTCGGTGTAAAAATAAATAAATTTCAACATTTTTTTAAAAATTTCCCAATTAACAAAAAATGAACTTAGTTCAAAGTAAAGTTCGATTGTGGAATATTCAATTATTTGTGAAGGCTCCATGAATTAAAAATTTGTGTTTCATGTTTTTTTGGGGTTGAAGAAAACTTCGACAGTTTAAACTTCAGTTTTTTCCCCAGTATATATATTACATATTGGTGTTATATGAAAGATCATAAAAATTTATAGATTTTGATGTATTTTTTGAAATTTTAGAGAAAAAATAAAAAAGTTATATAAGTTTTAAAAAAATGGGATTTTATGATGCAAAGATGATATCAGCTGGCATCATCCGCACAAAAAATGAAACCTCCGTACGTCCTTTCTATTCTTTTTTCTTTCTTTTTTCTTTTCCCACTCCTCTAAACCAACCCTCTATATTTAACCGCTTCCATCCACTTTCTCACTTTTAATACCCCATTTAAACTTCCACTACACACATTTAGGAGTCTAAAAAATCTACATTTAGCTTTTTAGACTCCTAATACCTTACCACTCCAAATGGTCTAAAAACTAACTTGATAAAAGAAATAGTTCAATGTCTTAACCGCAATTAATTGAGGTGGGTGGCGAGACATATGCAGCACTGACTAGGCATGGCAATGGGTCGGGGCGGGGCGGGTATTGCAAGACCCGGACCCGCCCCGTGACTTGGCGGGGCGGGTCCGCCCCGCCCCGTGACCTGCACGGGTCCAAACTTGTTGACCCATGACACGCCCCATGCGGGGCGGGGCGGGGCGGGTCCACCCCGCCGCAACCTAATTAGCTAGTTTTTATTTTTATGTGTAGGAAGTTGTTACCAATTGAATCTACATAATGTTTATCTCTAAATAATAATTAAAACTCAATATATTAAATCAAATTCATGATACGCTAAAAATTTCAAAAATTAAGAAAAAATTACTCAAACATGAATAGTTAATCTAATTAGTTATATTAATAATTGAATAAACGTATTAAAATTCTATATATATAAAGAAGACATTGATAATCCGTCGTGCATCTCATTCTAATATATATTCATATATTATAAGATCAAAGAATTTATGATTTATTATATACACACATATGTATGTTGAAGTATATTTAGTATTAAGTTAAGAAAAAGTATGTATATTGATATATTGAGCGGGTCGGGGCGGGGCGGAACGGGTCAATTCTAATACCCGGACCCGCCCCATTGTATAGGCGGGGCGGGGCGGACCCGTCCCATTTCCAAGACGGGGCGGGGCAGACCCGCCCCAAATGTCTCGAGCCAGGGCGGGTCATTGCGAGTCGAGTTTTTTTGACATCCCTAGCACTGACTAATTATACTCCGTATTATATTCGATATAAGATTCATTAGTGCCGAATTGTTTTTGTTTACCCTCACGAGTCACGACTCTCCGGTAAGTACATCATGAGAATTAATATTTTTAATTGAACTATTTTCAATCTTAGATTAGGCCAGATTTGATCAAACATAAACAAACAAGATCATATTATGCTAGAATGTCAGATTAGACTACTACAGTTCTACAATACATAACACAAACACATATAAGACTGACCAGAGCTATTCAAACCAGACCAATCAAACTAGTCTTATATTAAATCAACAAAATTCAATCCAATTAAAAAAGATAATTAGTCTATAAACTCACCATGTTAAAAAAAATCTCTAAACTCGCCGGCTGCTGAATTATTAGTCTATGCTTGGAAGGCATAAGTCCCTGCCTTCTAACTTTTGTGCCGTTCAAAAAGTTTTTAAAAGTTTCTAGTTGTATGTTTGACATGACAATTTTTAAGAGATTTTCAAAAATTAAAGGGAAAAGAGGCAAATTCCCCCTTGAAGTTACTACTAAAGGGTATCTAAGCCCTTAAAGTTAATTTTGGAGCAAATAACTCCTTTTTCCATCAAAAGGCAATGAACATACGGAGTACTTAACGATTTGGGTTGACCGGTTGAGAACGTGTGGTACATGCAAATACCCCCAAAAATTTTCTCTAGCTATATAATTATAAGTTTATAACATCGAAGTCTTTTTTTAACAAATATGTGAAATAACATGAGTCAAATTAACTAACTAAATGTCAAATTATAGAGTTAGGATATTTTTTATTGGATTGAAATTTTTTGATGTGATGTAATTTGGTCTAATCAATTTTTGTCTGATTTGACGTGATTTGTTTTAAAAGTTTTTATTTAAAATTATTTCAGTATTAGACAAGATCAGACCTGAACAACCCTGACTAGACATAAATAGATTAGACCTTGAGGAATTATAAAATACTTAGAAATAAGAAATCTACCGAACAAGACAAAATAGACCAATTCAAACCAGGCCAAATCAGATTAGAGGTAAGGGGGACCCCAAAATCATCACAAAACACATCCCAACTCATATTTCTTCTTTGTGAGCAAATGTCTTAAATTAACGTGGCAAATTTACTAGCCGATATGTTGAATTATAGAGTTAGGGAATTTTTAATTAGACTGAACTTTTTTTTATTTGATCTAGTTGATCTGATCAATTTTAGTCGGGAGCTGGTCTGGTCTAAAATTTTAATTTATACGTAGTATTACTTATACCTCTGTCTGATTTAAAAGTTATGTCCACTATTCTGTGGTCAATGTAAACTACTCCCTCCGTCCCCTTTTAAATGCTCCGTTTTACCATATTGGGATGTCCCTATTTAATTGTCTCATACCTTATTTGGTAAAGTTTGTGTGGCTCAAAATCATTCTTACTTTATTCTTACTTTATCAATTAATATCAACCACACAAACCCACTTTTCTTAAAACTCGTGCTACCTTCTTCCGTTCCAATATAAAATTGACAGAGGTAGTAATTTATAATCTTGTACTTTACTAATTCAACTTTTATTGAAATTAAATTTTATTTTATTAAGTTTATAAAACTTTTAATGTAGTTTGTGGATATGTATATCTTCATATTATTTTCATAATCTTTTTACAATTAATTTTAATTTTTTATTATAAAGAAAATAGAATTCCTTCAGAAATTATTAAGCAGTTCAATATATTTTCTTGATTTTTACCGTATATCTTCAATAAGTTAAACGGGAAAAACATTATGGCATGATAAAGAAGATAAAATAGTTTTTACATACTTTTAATCTTTATAATATACACATTAGAAATCTATGATAAGTCGAGAAGATATACTGTACAATAATTTGGGAGGAATTTTATTATTTTTAGTAATAAATGAATACAAATAAATTGTTTATGGATTATAATATATAAATAATATTAATAACATTTCATAGCAGACGAGATGAATGATTTTTTTTCAATTGAAATTTTATGGTTTGATCTATTCTGATTTAGCCTTGTCTGAATTGGTCTGGTTTTGAATTGTTCGATAGATTTCAGGTTTCTGAGTATTTTATAATTTTTCGAGGTCGAGTCTATTTTTTTCTAGTCAGATTTGTTCAGGTCTGATCTTGTCTAAGACTAAAATAAGTCTAAGTAAAAACTTTTAAAACAGATCAGACAAAAATTGATTAGACCAAATTACATCACATCAAAAAAATTCAATCCAATTAAAAACATCCTAACTCTATTGTTCAACATTTAGTTAGTTAATTTGTCACATGTTTATTTAAGACATTTGCTCACAAAAAGTATAAACTTAATGAATTTAGTTAGAGAAAATTGTGGGGGTATTCTTTATATTTTCTCTCTATTAAAAAATAAAAAAAATACACGAGAAGATAGAATGATGCATCAATGCACGAGAGTTGCAGGTAGCTAGGTCTATCAAACGATTGTTTCATTTATTTCTATGAATCAAAGAACCTATTTGGATAATAGACGGAGTCTTTTTTTGTTTTGGATAATTCTCAACCAAGCTTAAGTACTCCGTAAGTTCATCACCGTTAGAGAGGGGGGAGAATGTCCTCTTTTAATGGAAAATGGAGTTTTTTGCTCTAAAATTAAGTTTAAGGGCTTAGATACCCTTTAGTGGTAACTTCAGGGGATTTGCCCCTTTTCCCAAAATTAAAATATCTTTTTTAAGATGCTACGGGGAGTAGCATCTGAGAAAAGTCTGTGACTTTTAGTACAAATTACTCCTAACAGCTTGTATACCAAATCGAACTAAATCAAACAGTCAGCTTTTTACCAAACAACTATCACCTTTTCTGTTTAAGATCTTTTCCGTCCCTAAAAGCGAACAATTGTTAAGCAGTGTTTGCGGTTGCTTAAAAAAAGCGCTTTTCAGCTTTTGGCTTAAAAAAATCTAAAAAGAGTGTTTTCAAATGACAGCTTCTGCTTAAATTAATCATTTAAAAGCTAAAAGCTGGAAGCAAGTGGAATGATGCTTTAAACTGCTTTTCACTTTTTTATTACACAAAAAATACTTATTTTACCAAACATTACCAACTTTTACTTTTTCAGAATCACTTTTTTCTCAAACACTACCAACTTTTACTATTAATCACTTTTCCTTAAATCACTTTAAAAAATCACTTTTTTAAAGTTGAAGCAATTACAAACACTCCCTTAAAATGTATAAGAATGAAGAACAGGTAGCCATTGATACGACTTTTTTTAAAATTTTCACTTTATGTTTTCGGTAATACGATCAGATAAAAGGATAACTCAAATCTATACTCCGTTTTGAAAAAATATGAATATTTTATTAAGTTGGACTTTACTGCCAAGAAATGATGCTCCTCACCAAATGCTCCACTTACTGTTTTATCCTCTTGACTTTTGTTTTTCCGTTATTCTTGTCCGTTATTCAAAACTATTTGGTCTGGTTTGATTCAAGAAATGCAAGATCACTATGGAAATGCACAAGATTACTAAGGAAATTTGTATTGCTGGGTATATTAGATTGATGAGAATATATTCAATTTATTCTCATTTGTGTTTGATTAAGATCAATGAAATGTGTCACTAATTTATTTAGTTGAAAGATATCTTATATTCTATATTTGATGAATTACTTCAATACCCTTTAAATATTTTCTCTTAACCTAATAAATTTATTACAACCTACATCTAAACTAATTGAATTATTTTTAAGTCCTTCTCTCCTTTTTGGGACGTTTTTTTTTATCTGTCCTCCTTTCCATTTAAGGAAACTTTTTACTCTAAATATACCTTTATACCCCCACTTTTATTACCATTACCCCTTTCTCTTTCCTACTTTTTCATTTATCCACTACTCATTACACTTTTTACACTACCCCTACTATTTTCCTCTTAAAACTCGTGCCAAAGCCTAAGAGGACTCATATTAAAAAAACGGAGGGAGTATATTTTAAATAAAATCTAAACTAATCAAATATAATTAAATAAATCTATTACAACCTGCATCTAAAGTAATTGAAAATTAAATTAGCAAATTGGGTGATCTTCTCTGCTTAGTGGATCCAATGATAACATTGGATGCTTATCTCCAATTGGTATGTACATACATAACACATTGGATGTTCTTCTCATTGTATTACATCATAAAATTATATTATTATTATAATTACATGGAGTCCCTTAACTAGAGATGGCAATTGTGACCGATCCAATGGATACCCGAACCGAACCGCCCCGGTCAAAACGGGGAAAACCGCATTGACCGGGTAACGGGTATGGGGCGGGGAATACCCGTTTTGTTTTTACAGGTAACGGGGCGGTTACGGTTTTATACATGCCCGCCCCACTACCCGCCTCGTACCCGCCCCGTTTATTTTAGTTATATTTTTATTACATTTTTATCTATTATTTGTCCCATAAGTAAATGAAGATGAGATTTTTTCTATTTTCATTAAGTATATGGATAATAGATGTACTAACTATAATGTTCAATGAGAGTTCATAATAGATCTTAGTAGTCTTGTTTGATTATTATCATATTTTTAGTGAATAATTATTTTTCAGATTAAGTATTTTTAGGTTCAAATTAATTTATGTTGTCTTCTTTCTCGTCTTGTAGATATACGAAACTTTAAAGTGGCGTCTCAGTCTAGAGTCATCTAAGTGATGCCATTTTTTGCCTTTTAAAATATTATTTTTATATTAAAATATCAAGCACTCATTTAATAAAGCGATTACCCGCGGTTACCCGTGGTTATACCCGTTACCCGTTGGGGCGGATACGGTTTGGGGAAAAATTACCCGTTGGGTAATGGGGCGGTTATGGGGCGGGGAATTATCAAATGAGGCGGGTACGGTTATATGTAAAACCGTCCCCGAACCGCCCCGTTGCCATCCCTACCCTTAACATGTGACTCACAAAACAGATCCCACTCTGACATGGGAGTAATCAATGAATGAATGGAACCAAAATGGTATGAGCGGGTGTTACCATTGACGGAGTAGTTGTACTCAGGGGAAGCAAAAAGGATGCTATCAGCTTGAAGAATCTTCCGGCGGAACTCCTCCACTGCCGGAGGGAAGGTTCCATTGACCACGAGATCGGTGTTTAGAAACGGTAACGCCGAGATATCCACATACTCTATTTCGATCTCCTCCATCCCTTCCTTGCTTATCTCCATTGCTAGGACCAGTAATTAACAACTAAATCTCAAACGCAAATTTCAGTTGTTATAAACAAGACGTGACTTGTGATTGAAGTGATTATGCAAAACTAAATGCTCGTGCGGCACGGATCGACTATCAGATTATACTGATTGAATTGGATCTAGAGAGCATACGTGGAGAGAGAAAATGAAAATAATGGAGGGAGAAAGAGGAGAATAGTACCTGCGCGGAGGAGACCACGATTATAGGAAGCTTTCCGCAGAGAGCCGCAGAGGCCGGCGACTCTGATGACTTGTTGAGCAGCCATAGCTGCAGCTTCAATTGAGAAAGACAAAAAAAGGAGTTTGAATTGAGAAAGAAGAAAGGACTTTGAATTGGCAGATAATGTTTTTTTTTTTGCAAGGAATTGGCGGATAATGTTTTCTTTGGATGAAATGTAAATACATATTAACACCCAGAAAAACAATACAGCACATATACTAGATCTCCTAAAACCTCCTCCACCTCCAAATAATTTGAAGGTGAAAGGAGGTTTTTATTCGATCTATTCTATGCCAAAATAACCAGGTATAAAACCTGGCCCATCAAGAGGTTCAAAAAATACATCGGTGCTGCACATGCACGCACACAGACCATAGGCTAAAAATCAAAACAAAGTACAAATGTGTTGCAACATGCACAAACCCTGAAATCCAAGACCATGCCACGGCATCCATGATGTCCATGCCACGGTGTTCTGAGTGCCCAAGCCATGGTATCTAAGATATCCATGCCTAGTCGCACCAAACAGTCATGTAACAATCTATTTAAAGGGGGCAATGGGGGCAAATAATGTTTTGCAATGGGGGGCAAATAAACGGACACCAGGTCTGCAGCTATGTAAAGAAGTGTTTGGTGTCAATGTGTCATTTTAGAGCTCGTTTGATAACTATAATTTTTTTACTTTTCGGGTATATTAGTCAACTTTTTCATCAAACACATGACTTTTGGTTTCGTGCGCTGAATTGGGTAATAATAAGAAAAGATAAGGTTGGAGTTACTTTTCTGCTTGGATTGCCTGAATTTACTGTAGAGTACCATTGGTTATTTTTTCCTATCTTTTTTCACTATTTCATTAATAAAATATATTTTGAATATTATTTTTCCACAGAATCATCAGAATCAGTCAATACAGTCACTTCAACAGAAATTTCATAAATTTCAGCAGAATCAATCGATACAGCCGATTTGTGTGTTACCAAACGGGCCCGTAGTTTAAAAGGGGTAAAAGGCAAATAAGGCAACAATTGTGCAATCAGGCCCACAAACGAAAGACATAAATACATTATACTTTTAAAATGGCAAAAATAATTTGAATACATCAATCTTTGAAGGGGTGTGAGCTAGGTAAATAACTCAAACTTGTATACGCAACATTTATACTCTACATTTTATATAAAAACTTATTCTAGCACCATGATCATAAATGATAAATGCATTTAAATTATTTATTTAACACCTAAATTTACATTTGTGAAAGAAAAATCATATGATCATGATGCTAACGTAACTGTTTATATAAACTTTGGTATATTTATATTATATATGCAAGTTAGAAGTGTTTACCTCACACCCTTTGAAAGTTTGGGGTATTTGAATTATTCTTCCCTTGTAAAATAAGATCGAGAATGTTTTAGAATTGATCTTTTTTTGCTTCTTTTTTAAAAGTAGAAATAAAATCAAAACCAATTTTTCAGAAGTTGGTCTCTTTAACCTTCTAAAAATTGCTTCCGGAAGCAATTTGGAACATTCATAAATGTTTCTGCACTTTCACTCAAACACTCTAATATATGTTTCTGTTTTTTGAAAGGGAAAAGCAGGCTTAAGAGGTAGATCCAAACACTTCCCCTAAAGTAATTGAGTCATTTTTTACCTGCCGATGCAATTAAGGACTTAACTTTCTCGTGAGAAGTCCGACATCAACTTCCCACCCATCATCTTTTTAGATTAGAAGTTAACTCATTTCCATCAACAGAAGAAGTATTTTGTTCCATTATATTCTAGATTTACAAATCCTACCAGATTCTTAGACAAGGATTTTAAAAGCAAAGTAAAAACCAAAGTAAAAAAACATGTTATTACCTTTGTCGATAAAACCAGGTAGCCCCCAACTTAGGAAGATAAAATAAATTAGCAATGGTAAATTCTATGGTACCCATAGCAATATGGTACCCATTAGCAATATGTATTTGATTCACGAATCAACTAGAGTCTAGAGCCATGGATCTCGCATAGAGCTGCGCAAGAACGAGCAACTGAGGACTCAACCCCATCTCGTTGCGGCTGACTTACACAAGGCAACGAGTGTCACTATCATTGGAAATCCTATATACTCCCTCCGTCCACTTTTAAATGTCTCGTTTTATCATATTGGGATGTCCCTATTTAATTGTCTCATACTCCCTCCGTCCCCCTAAGTTTGGAACGGAGGGGTGTGGTGTGGTTTTTAAGAAAAAGTTTAATTGTGTGGTTGTTATTGAATTGATAAAGTATAAATAGAATAAGAATGAATTCTAACCACTCAAATGTTACCAAATATGGTATGTGACAAACTTAGTGGGACGGACGAAAAAGGTAAAACGAGACAAACTTAAGGGGACGGAGGGAGTACCTTATTTGGTAAAGTTTGTGTGGCTCAAAATCATTCTTACTTTATTCTTACTTTATCAATTAATATCAACCACACAAACTCACTTTTCTTAAATTCCGTGTCACTCTCTTCCGGGGCATTTAAAAAGGGAGAGAGGGAGTATATTATTATCGGCAAGGATGAGCTTTGATTTGGAGGAAATTAAAGACTATTACTTCTCACTTCTTTGGAATGCCTCTTGGACCTCTCAGTTGATGCTCGGTTCTTATAATCTTAGGGTTGGGAATTGATAATATACTTCTCCGTATAAAGTATTTGAAAGGGTGGGAAAGAACAAAGATAAATCTTCTCCGTGCATGTTTTGTCAAACAAAGGAGTGAACAATGAGTTTCACCGCCTTTTACAACGCCTAGTACTTATGCGAGGCTTTTAGAACATTACCACATCCCTCTAAAGTTGATATGTGTGGAGATGACATGATAATTAAGGAAATATTAGGGGTGGAAATAGGCTAGCCGGCCTGTCAGGGGCCTGTGGCCTGGCCTGTTAAAGGCCCGGCCTGGCCTGGCCTGGCCTGGCCTCTTTAGTAATCAAGCTAGGCTTGGGCTTTTCTAAAAGCCCGTTTATTTAAATAGGCCAGGCCTAGCCCAACTCTAAAGCCTTTTTACCTTAACAGGCCGGCCTATTTATGTGTGTGTGTATGTATTTAGTTATATTTATATTTATTTGTATTATTTATATTTATATTGGTATACTCAACTATATCCAAATCAGTATAATAGTATTTTTAGGGAGTGTGTATTATAAATTAGAATAGACTGCTTTTTTAAACATATATAAAGTGTGTTAATAGTTTATTAAGGTAATTGAAATTCAAAGTTTTTTAAGAATCAAAGTACATAGAAATTTATAAACTACATAATAATACTCCATAATAATGTATTATTAGACATCCAAAGCAAAACTAACGTATTATTAGACTTTTTAGTAAATATTTGGGGTAATAAATTTTATACCGGATTAAAAGGATTTTTCACTTTTCATTTTGTATTTTTTTTGAAAATTTATTTTTTTCCTTAACAGGCCCGGTAAACAGGCTTCAGGCCAGGCCAGGCTTTTAAACAGGCCAGGCCCAGGCCGAAAAAACAGGCCTTTAACAGGTAACAGGCCAGGCTCAGGCCTATATTTTCTAAAACAGGCCTGGCCTGTTTAGGCGAAAGCCTGGCCTGGCCTGGCCTGTTTCTACCCCTAGGAAATATGTTTAATTATGTAATTTGTATTGAGAATTAGAACCACATATATATCAAATTTGATATGAAATCTTTATGAAACAAAGTAAGAAGACAAATGGAACACTCTTAAAGTCTTAATGGGATGGGGGAATGAAAGTTTGAAATGTTAAGTTTGAGAAGAATGACTTTAATCATGTGTCAGTGTTTGATAAAAAAAATCATGTAATATAAATAGTGAAAAGTAGTTTAATTAGTGCACCCTCCACTAGATTTTGACTTTAAAATGTTTACTTTAAGGAGATTTTGACTTAAACAGATATAAACAGACTAGATCAGACTTAAGTAGTTATAAAATACTAGGGGTGGGCACGGTCCGGGATTTGACTTATCCTGATCCCGTCCCGGTTTTATAACAACGGCCTGGTTTGGTACGAGATAAGTCTTTATCCCAATGTTGTCCCATTTAAAACGGGACCGAGACAACCCGAGAAAAACCGGGACGGTTCGGGATGTCCCATAAAATATGCATTTGTGAAATGTGATATAAAAACAAGCATAACATCAATATAAAGATGTAACTATTTTTTCAAATTTAGCTTCCCCAAAAAGTTATGTAAAACTTAATCTTGTGTTTCCTCTAGTAGAATAGTAGCGCAAAATATTTTTATACTTTGTAATACACTTGTAATTTTTCAATACCACATTTAAATTAATATCATATCTATAAAGACACTATATATATTTTCTAGTAGTTATTTTGGAAAATATTAAATCTATAACAACACTATAATTTGGAGTAGTAGTTATTCCATCATAAATAGTATTCCGCACGTAATAATATATTATGGATTAGTATTGGAATGAGAAGTAAACAATTTTTAATCAAAAGAAACAAAAGAAATGAGACTAAGAGAGACATGAAATAAGATAAAATCAAACTAGGGAGACTAAGGACTGGAAAGTTTTAATTGGGTTTGACTATTACATAGCATTAGAAATTTAAAATAACATATTAATTTCAAACGGGACACCGGGACGAGACATGATATTTTATAGCTATCCTGGTCCCGTCCCGTTCAATATCGGTGCTGGACCAGTTCAGGATGAAAAAATTGCGTTCTAAATGTATCGGGATAGTTTCGGAACGGTATCGGAATTTTTCGGTTTGAGACACCGGGACCGGGATTTTTGCCCATCCCTATAAAATACATAGATACCAGCCATTCAAACCAGATCAGTTCAGACCGATCCAGATCAGACCTGACTTAAACATATCACACCAGACCGACAAATTTCAGTACAAAAGAAAACATCCTAAAACTATGAAGGTACATGATGTACGGAGTATATAATATCATCCTAAAAAAGAAAAAATTTCCGTTTTCCTGAAACAAAAAACTTATATCCACCTGTTTTTTTAAATCTTTTTTAATATTCCCTAAGAACATATTCACCGATCAAATTTTGGGAACAAGCAACTTGCTCGTTATGGAACACCTTACTATAAGCTTTTTCGATGTTTGGTTGCCCAATTAACTGGCATACATTTTTAGGACATGTCT